TCTCATATTAGAACTCTTTTATTTTCTCATGGCTTTGGATTTGTGTGGCTTAATCAAACAGTTGGTAATATTCATCTATTTCTTAAGCAATTTCAAGAACAATCTGTTAGCATGTATTATCAAGAATGGCATTCCTGTCTAGACAATAGTTCAAGATACCAGTTGTATACATCACATAAGAGCTTAATTCAACCAGAACTATATCTATTTGTATTGACATCTAGAAATATCAGACGCACACTTGTAAATTTTCGATTGGGCTTGTTAGACTTATCAGTAAATAAGGGCAGACGATTTTCAATAGAGAGATGTTTAAGGCTATGTCCATTATGTAACTCGGCTATAGAAGATGAAATTCACTTCGCTTTTGTTTGCCCACATTTTGCTGATTTAAGAAAAAATTATATCCCAAATCATTAACTGTTAAAATATCCTTCATCTGCCTTTGCTTCCATAATATCCTCCAAAAATGAAAATGTAATACGTAATCTAGCGCTTTATGTAAAACATGCTGTTATCCTTAGAAGCAATATCTTATCTGAACTGTAATTTCTTTGTGAAATGTCTGTAACAAGTGCTGTATATATACTTGTATTGCTTGTATATGGGCCGGAATCCTTAAGTACAATAAATATCTTTGACTTTGACTTTGACAAAGTTTGGGGTCAACTTGATAGGAGAACAGGATAAACTTTGGGGTTAACTGGATTCGAGAACTGGATAAATTGTATAATTGCCTGAACTGAAGAACCTTGTACAGTTTCGGATTAACAAAATTAGGGAAAAGTTAAAGTTAACTGCATTACGTGTGAAGTGAATAAAGTGTAGGGCTAACTCGCTATTATAGAATCTATTTTAGGCATTTCCTTAGAATGTGATAAAAACAGTATTTTAAAGCTTAAGTTTTAAAAATCTTGACAATGCTTTAAAAGTTTTGCTTTGAAAGGTTTTATATCCTATAATACCTCCTTCTTCATAGCTTTTAGCTATCATTTTTCCAAACTTCTTTCATAACATGGTAAATGAGAATAGTTAAACCTAAAATTGCCCAGGAAAAAATCATCACTTTTTACTTGCACATGGTGTTGTTAAACTCAAGGGAAGTAACTCTTGATGTCCTATCTTCACTCACTTGCACAAGGAAACCCGCACTTACATCAACAGATATATATATATAGTGAACAACTGCAGTATTGAAAGTTATAACTATTGTGTCAAAACTTGTAGACAGTCATCAGACTGTCCTCAAACTGCACATGACAATAATTGGTTCTAAGGCAGTACACAAGTTCAGTAACACTTACATCGTGCTGGTGGATCAGCAGTGTGCTGGTGCTGCTTGTGTTTATGCATGAGTAACACTGTGCAGAATTATTGTTTCAGTGAGTGTTTGTTTGAGGCCCGGTATAAATGTGTTTATCACCTTGTGTGGGAGATACACCAGATGTTATTCCACTTGTAAAATCACTGCAGCTGAGGCTCCTTGTTAGCCAACCAGACATCTGGCCCTGAATATCTGCCCAACTAGATGCCTAGCTGACACAAACCAGTTTCATATTGCCATATTGCTTCAGGGGATGTCCACACACATGTAGGGTCTACAGGGATGTTCTACATAGGGTCTACAGGGCATGTTGTATATAGGGTCTACAGGCATGTTCTACATAGGGTCTACAGGGATGTTGTACATAGGGTCTACAGGGCATGTTGTATATAGGGTCTACAGGGATGTTGTATATAGGGTCTACAGGGATGTTGTTTATAGGGTCTACAGGGATGTTCTACATAGGGTCTACAGGGATGTTGTACATAGGGTCTACAGGGCATGTTGTATATAGGGTCTACAGGGATGTTGTATATAGGGTCTACAGGGATGTTGTTTATAGGGTCTACAGGGATGTTGTACATAGGGTCTACAGGGCATGTTTATAGGGTCTATAGGGATGTTGTACATAGGTCTACAGGGATGTTGTACATAGGGTCTACAGGGCATGTTGTTTATAGGGTCTACAGGGATGTTGTACATAGGGTCTACAGGGATGTTGTATATAGGGTCTACAGGGATGTTGTATATAGGGTCTACAGGGCATGTTGTATATAGGGTCTACAGGGATGTTGTATATAGGGTCTACAGGGCATGTTGTTTATAGGGTCTACAGGGAAGTTGTATATAGGGTCTACAGGGATGTTGCATATAGGGATGTTGTATATAGGGTCTACAGGGATGTTGTATATAGGGTCTACAGGGATGTTGTATATAGGGTCTACAGGGATGTTGTATATAGGGTCTACAGGGATGTTGTATATAGGGTCTACAGGGCATGTTGTATATAGGGTCTACAGGGATGTTGTATATAGGGTCTACAGGGCATGTTTATAGGGTCTACAGGGATGTTGTATATAGGGTCTACAGGGATGTTGCATATAGGGTCTACAGGGATGTTATATATAGGGTCTACAGGGATGTTGTTTATAGGGTCTACAGGGATGTTGTATATAGGGTCTACAGGGATGTTGTATATAGGGTCTACAGGGATGTTGTATATAGGGTCTACAGGGCATGTTGCATATAGGGATGTTGTATATAGGGTCTACAGGGATGTTGTATATAGGGTCTACAGGGATGTTATATGTAGGGTCTACAGAGATGTTGTATATAGGGTCTACAGGGATGTTGCATATAGGGATGTTGTATATAAAGTCTACAGGGATGTTGTATGTAGGGTCTACAGGGATGTGGTATATAGGGTCTACAGGGATGTTGTATATAGGGTCTACAGGGATGTTGTTTATAGGGTCTATAGGGGATGTTGTACATAGGGTCTACAGGGATGTTGTATATAGGGTCTACAGGGCATGTTGTATATATGGTCTACAGGGCATGTTGTTTATAGGGTCTATAGGGGATGTTGTACATAGGGTCTACAGGGATGTTGTATATAGGGCCTACAGGGCATGTTGTATATATGGTCTACAGGGATGTTGTATGTAGGGTCTATAGGGATGTTGTATATAGGGTCTACAGGAATGTTGTATATAGGGTCTACAGGGCATGTTGTTTATGGGATCTATAGGGGATGTTGTACATAGGGTCGACTGGGATATTATATATAGGGTCTACAGGGATGTTGTATGTAGGATCTACAGGGATGTTGTAGTAAGGGTCTCAAAGGATGTTATATATAGGGTCTACAGGGATGTTGTATATAGGGTCTACAAGGATGTTGTATATAGGGTCTACAGGGATATTTCATATAGGGACTACAGGGATGTTGTATATAGGGTCTACAGGGATATTTCATATAGGGTCTACAGGGATGTTGTATATATTGTCTACCGGGATGTTATATATAGGGTCTACAGGCATGTTATATATAGAGTCTACAGGGATGTTATATATAGGGTCTACAGGGCATGTTATATATAGGGTCTACAAGGATGTTGTATATATTGTCTACCGGGATGTTATATATAGGGTCTACAGGCATGTTATGTATAGGGTCTACAGGGATGTTGTATATAAGGTCTACAGGGCATGTTATATATAGCGTCTACAGGGCGTCTAAAGGGCATGTTATATATAGGGTCTACAGGGCATGTTGTATATAGGGTCTACAGGGCATGTTATATATAGGGTCTACAGGGCATGTTATATATAGGGTCTACAGGGATGTTGTATATAGGGTCTACAGGGCATGTTATATATAGCGTCTACAGGGCATGTTATATATAGGGTCTACAGGGCATGTCATGTATAGGGTCTAAAGGGCATGCTATGTGTAGGGTCTACATCACATGTTATATAAAGGGTCTACAAGGCATGTTATATATAGCGTCTACAGGACATGTTATATATAGCGTCTAAAGGGCATATTATTTATAGGGTCTACAAGGCATGTTATATATAGCGTCTAAAGGGCATGTTATATATAACATCTACAGGGCATGTTATATATACGGTCTACATGGCGTGTTATATATAGAGTTTAAAGGGCATGTTATATATAAGGTCTACAGGGCATGTTATTAATAGGGTCTACATGACATGTTATATATAGAGTCTAAAGGGCATGTTATATATAGGTCTAAAGGGCATGTTATATAAAGGGTCTACAGGGATATGGTACTGAGTGTTATGTTGTATACAGATCCTGACCTCACGGAGTGTAATGTTGTATATAGATCCTGACCTCACGGAGTGTAATGTTGTATATAGATCCTGACCTCATGGGGTGTAATGTTGTATATAGATCCTGACCTCACGGGGTGTAATGTTGTATATAGATCCTGACCTCATGGGGTGTAATGTTGTATACAGATCCTGACCTCACGGAGTGTAATGTTGTATATAGATCCTGACCTCATGGGGTGTAATGTTGTATATAGATCCTGACCTCATGGGGTGTAATGTTGTATATAGATCCTGACCTCACGGGGTGTAATGTTGTATATAGATCCTGACCTCATGGGGTGTAATGTTGTATACAGATCCTGACCTCACGGAGTGTAATGTTGTATATAGATCCTGACCTCATGGGGTGTAATGTTGTATATAGATCCTGACCTCATGGGGTGTAATGTTGTATATAGATCCTGACCTCATGGGGTGTAATGTTGTATACAGATCCTGACCTCACGGGGTGTAATGTTGTATATAGATCCTGACCTCACGGGGTGTAATGTTGTATACAGATCCTGACCTCATGGGGTGTAATGTTGTATACAGATCCTTACCTCACTGGGGTGTAATGTTGTATACAGATCCTCTCCTCACTGAGTGTAGTGTTGCATATAGATCCTGACCTCACGGGGTGTAATCTTGTATACACATCCTGACCTCACGGGGTGTAATGTTGTATATAGATCCTGACCTCACGGGGTGTAATGTTGTATATAGATCTTGATGTCCTATATTTTAGTGTTGTATATGGATTGTCAGATTGAGATGTGACAAAGTTGTACAGACAAGATTGTATAGTTGTTGTGTTGTTCGTCTGCAGGGAAGGAATGTCGGGGGCCAGGAGGGGGGCCATCCGTGGCCGATAATGTTGTCTGCCGTCTGTGTGGTCATCATGGCACTACTTGCCTTCACCCTGTGGTGGTACTACAAGAGGCGTGGCACATATCGATACCGTGTGCGGGAACCTACAGGTAGGTCACATCAGAACTAGTGGTTTGATGTACTCATTATTATGCTCATGAATATTCATAAGCATGTTCATGACACTTGTCATATGAACTCTTATGCGTGTACAGGTTTGAAGTCCAAGTTTTTCCCTGCCACACATGCTGATTTGTTCTCATTAATGCGAGACCATCTTGAAGGTGAAGTGTCCCGGGTCAACTGTGGCCTGTAGATGCTTTAGGCTGACAATGTTCACTGCATCATGGTGGAGATATATTGCACACACAAACACAATCTCAACCAAGTGCCAAACATTACAGTATAACAAATAACCAGTCTGTACCGGTTCCACACTTTCTGACCTTTGACCTCTTTTAAATAAGGGTGGTGAGCTGGCATTTATGAAGCTCTGACTCACTCATTCTGAAGTCAGTTTAAGTGGCGCTTGCAGAATTACTGGTACCATGTGACAACCTCACCTTGTGACAACCTCACCGTGTAACAGCCTCATCCTGTGACAACCTAACCTTGTTACCTCACCACGTGACAACCTAACCTTGTTACCTCACCATGTGACAAGCTCACCATGTGACAACCTAACTTTGTTACAACCTCACCATGTTACAACCTAACATTGTTACCTCACCATGTGACAACCTAACTTTGTTACAACCTCACCATGTTACAACCTAACATTGTTACTTCACCATGTGAACAACCTCACCATGTGACAACCTAACCTTGTTACCTCACCATGTGACAACCTCACCATGTGACAACCTCACCATGTGACAACCTAACCTTGTTACCTCACCATGTGACAACCTCACCATGTGACAACCTAACTTTGTTACAACCTCACCATGTTACAACCTAACATTGTTACCTCACCATGTGACAACCTAACTTTGTTACAACCTCACCATGTGACAACTTAACCTTGTTACTTCACCATGTGACAACCTAACATTATTACCTCACCCTGTGACAACTTAACCTTGTTACCTCATCATGTGACAACCTAACATTGTTACTTCACCATGTGAACAACCTCACCATGTGACAACCTAACTTTGTTACAACCTCACCATGTGACAACCTAACCTTGTTACTTCACCATGTGACAACCTAACATTATTACCTCACCCTGTGACAACTTAACCTTGTTACCTCATCATGTTACAACCTAACATTGTTACTTCACCATGTGAACAACCTCACCATGTGACAACCTAACCTTGTTACTTCACCATGTGACAACCTAACCTTGTTACTTCACCATGTGACAACCTAACATTATTACCTCACCCTGTGACAACTTAACCTTGTTACCTCATCATGTTACAACCTAACATTGTTACCTCACCCTGTGACAGGGTGGTGAGCTGGCATTTATGAAGCTCTGACTCACTCATTCTGAAGTCAGTTTAAGTGGCGCTTGCAGAATTACTGGTACCATGTGACAGCCTCACCTTTTGACAACCTCACTGTGTAACAGACTCATCCTGTGACAACCTAACCTTGTTACCTCACCACGTGACAACCTAACCTTGTTACCTCACCATGTGACAAGCTCACCATGTGACAACCTAACTTTGTTACAACCTCACCATGTTACAACCTAACATTGTTACCTCACCATGTGACAACCTAACTTTGTTACAACCTCACCATGTTACAACCTAACATTGTTACTTCACCATGTGAACAACCTCACCATGTGACAACCTAACCTTGTTACCTCACCATGTGACAACCTCACCATGTGACAACCTCACCATGTGACAACCTCACCATGTGACAACCTAACCTTGTTACCTCACCATGTGACCTCACCATGTGACAACCTAACCTTGTTACTTCACCATGTGACAACCTCACCATGTGACAACCTAACTTTGTTACAACCTCACCATGTTACAACCTAACCTTGTTACCTCACCATGTGACAACCTAACTTTGTTACAACCTCACCATGTGACAACTTAACCTTGTTACTTCACCATGTGACAACCTAAAATTATTACCTCACCCTGTGACAACTTAACCTTGTTACCTCATCATGTGACAACCTAACATTGTTACTTCACCATGTGAACAACCTCACCATGTGACAACCTAACTTTGTTACAACCTCACCATGTGACAACTTAACCTTGTTACTTCACCATGTGACAACCTAACATTATTACCTCACCCTGTGACAACTTAACCTTGTTACCTCATCATGTGACAACCTAACATTGTTACTTCACCATGTGAACAACCTCACCATGTGACAACCTAACCTTGTTACTTCACCATGTGACAACCTAACCTTGTTACTTCACCATGTGACAACCTAACATTATTACCTCACCCTGTGACAACTTAACCTTGTTACCTCATCATGTTACAACCTAACATTGTTACTTCACCATGTGAACAACCTCACCATGTGACAACCTAACCTTGTTTCTTCACCATGTGACAACCTAACCTTGTTACTTCACCATGTGACAACCTAACATTATTACCTCACCCTGTGACAACTTAACCTTGTTACCTCATCATGTGACAACCTAACATTGTTACTTCATCATGTGACAACCTAACATTGTTACCTCACCCTGTGACAACTTAACCTTGTCACCTCATCATGTGACAACCTAACATTATTACCTCACCATGTGAACAACCTCATCATGTGACAACCTAACATTGTTACTTCACCATGTGAACAACCTCATCATGTGACAACCTAACATTGTTACTTCACCATGTGAACAACCTCACCCTGTGACAACTTAACCTTATTACCTCACCATGTGACAACCTAACATTGCTACCTCACCATGTTCTTAGTGTTACAACCTCACCATGTAACAACCTCGCTGTATTACCTCACCATGTGACAACCTCGCTGTATTACAACCTCACCATGTAACAACCTCGCTGTATTACAACCTCACCATGTGACAACCTCGCTGTATTACAACCTCATGTCACAACCTCACCATGTGACAACCTCAGTCTTACAACTTGATGTGTCACAACCTCACCGTGTGACAACCTCACTTTGTCACAACCTCACCATGTGAAAAGCACAACATGCTTCCACTCCACTTGCCTGTCGTGACACACATAGAAATGTCCTCAGCTTGGAGACTGGAGCAATTCTGTTGCATCTTACAAGATATGAGTTAATCAGTATTTGGACAAAATCATAATTGTGATATTTGAAGACATTTGAAGGAGATATTTGGTTGAGGGATGGGGGTGAGACTCATTGATTGGGTGGTACTGCCAGGCTACAGCATTGATCCATCTGCAGCACTCAGTAGATGGAGCTTGTTCCCAGAGATGGTACTGATATGCACAAGATACGAGATGATCGCTTCTGACAAGGGCCAGTGTGTTTTCCTATGCTAATGGCAGTATTGCTGAACTACACGATTGAATACCATTTTGTGCTTTTCACTTTGAAAGCATTCTCTGTTTAAAGTGTGTCATGAAATATTCATTTTGTTTATTAATAATGGTAGATATAAAAAAAACGTCTGTGAAGAACATGAAAGGGATATGTTCCATGTAATGCCATAAGACAGGGACTACTTTGCCCCGACCGTAAACACCATCAGCATAAATACCTGCAACCTCTGTTGTGCGATGTGGCTTACTTCATGACGTCTTGCTGGGGGACATCTTGTTAGCTCTGCATCGAAGGCCTGAAAATAGACATAGACCACATCAGAGATCAAACGTAAGGCAACTGTTTGTGAGATTGTTGAGTTCCGCTTCGCTAAAAGTTGATCTCTAAGTGTGGCTGGTGTGAGGCCATATCTGACATTGGCCGGAGTGGTAATTACAGTCATCAGCTACGGATCAACACGCTATTTTACTGGGCTTCATCATTCTCCCTTCATCAAAAAAGGAAATCCAGGCATCAAAAACTTGATCCATCAAAATTTGTTTCCATCTTAAACGGATCGGAAGTTTCATTTGCCCGAAGTTTGTGATCATGGCATATTTTGATTAGAGGAATAAAAGGTAGTGAGGTTTGTATGCCCCCTGGAAACCTGCTCCATCAGCTACATGGTGTGTGCTTTCATCAGGACACTAGATCGGGGCTAGAGTCGGCCAAACAGCAAATGGAAGTGTGGAGGCCCAGTTCTACATAGTATATTGGCATTAAATATTAATGTATAAATGAAATTTATGAAAGCCTGGACAATGTCTGAATATTGTATTGTAATCCAGGCAGTATATGTGTGTCTGTGCGATCAAGGCAGTGTCTGTGATCAAGACAGTGTTTGTGATCAAGGCAGTGTTTATGTGATCAAGGCAGTGTCTGTGTCTCTGTGATCAAGGCAGTGTCTGAGGTCAAGACAGTGTCTGAGATCAAGACAGTGTCAGTGTGATCAAGGCAGTGTCTGTGATCAAGGCAGTGTTTATGTGATCAAGGCAGTGTCTGTGATCAAATCAGTGTCTGTGTGATCAAGGTAGTGTCTGTGTGATCAAGGCAGTGTATGTGTGTCTGTGTGATCAAGGCAGTGTCTGTGATCAAGGCAGTGTTTGTGATCAAGGCAGTGTCTGTGATCAAGGCAGTGTATGTGTGTCTGTGATCAAGGCAGTGTCTGTGATCAAGGCAGTGTCTGAGATCAAGACAGTGTATGTGTGATCAAGGCAGTGTCCGTGTCTGTGTGATCAAGGCAGTGTCTGAGTTCAAGACTGTCTGAGATCAAGACAGTGTCTGTGTGATCAAGGCAGTGTCTGTGTCTCTGTGATCAAGACAGTGTCTGAGATCAAGACAGTGTCAGTGTGATCAAGGCAGTGTCTGTGTCTCTGTGATCAAGGCAGTGTCTGAGATCAAGACAGTGTCTGAGATCAAGGCAGTGTATGTGTGATCAAGGCAGTGTTTGTGATCAAGGCAGTGTCTGTGATCAAGGCAGTGTCTGTGTACTCAAGGCAGTGTTTATGTGATCAAGGCAGTGCCTGTGTGATCAAGGCAGTGTATGTGTGTCTGTGTGATCAAGGCAGTGTCTGTGATCAAGGCAGTGTTTGTGATCAAGGCAGTGTCTGTGATCAAGGCAGGGTATGTGTGTCTGTGTCATCAAGGCAGTGTCTGAGATCAAGACAGTGTCTGAGATCAAGACAGTGTATGTGTGATCAAGGCAGTGTATGTGTGTCTGTGTGATCAAGGCAGTGTCTGTGATCAAGGCAGTGTTTGTGATCAAGGCAGTGTCTGTGTACTCAAGGCAGTGTTTATGTGATCAAGGCAGTGTCTGTGTGATCAAGGCAGTGTCTGTGATCAAGGCAGTGTCTGTGATCAAGGCAGTGTCTGTGTACTCAAGGCAGTGTTTATGTGATCAAGGCAGTGTCTGTGTGATCAAGGCAGTGTATGTGTGTCTGTGTGATCAAGGCAGTGTTTATGTGATCAAGGCTGTCTGTGTAATCAAGAGTGTCTTTGTGTCTGTCATCAAGGCAGTGTCTGTGTGTCTGATCAAGGCAGTGTCTGTGTCTTATCAAGGCTGAATCTGTGATCAAGGCAGTGTCTGTGTGTCTGTGATCAAGACTGTCTGTGTGTCTGTGATCAAGGCTGTGTCTGTGATCAAGGCAGTGTCTGTGTGTCTGTGATCAAGACTGTCTGTGTCTGTGATCAAGGCTGTATTTGTGTGATCAAGGCAGTGTCTGTGTGTCTGTGATCAAGGCTGTATCTGTGTGATCAAGGCAGTGTCTGTGATCATGGCAGTGTCTGTGATCAAGGCTGTATCTGTATGTGTACACACATCTCAATCCCACATATTACACATATTTCACGCTCACCATGCACACACATCTCACACTCACCGAACATATGCGTTACACATACCATACCATGCATACTACACACACATATATCATGTTTCACTCTCTCTCACACACATGCACATGCACATGCACACACACACATGTGTGAGAGTCTACCAATGCAGTTGTACTGGCACTCTCACATATGGCAGTAGCTCTCTATCTCGTGGTCGCAGTTTCTCTCCGCTGTTTGGGTTGATAGCAAGTTTACTAATTAAGAGCCATTTTCCATCTTTTCTTGTCTAAATAATGTCTTTGTAGTTTGCTAGGGTTTTCCCTTGGGTCATTTTAGATTAAAGGGAGAGAATTGCCACATTTTGCATGTGCAATCCATGTCAAGTCTTGATGATCTTGTACATGGCAGATCTGTGAGTGGGCTTTGTATGGTGCAGTGCTTCATGAGGTTTTGTGTCCTCAGACCTGATTACACGTATGCTTCACTGCCCGACAGCTGCCGTTACGGCCTTTGTTTTATCTGGCTTCCACATTTCATAAAACACCTAAATTGACCACTTTTTATGCAATATTTATTTTCATCATGTTAGAAAATGCTTGATCTTTAGATTGGTTTCTGAGATGGGTTTAGTTTTTCTCCAAGGATGTCAGTAATTGGGTTTTCACCTTGAGAAGAGTGACTCCTGCTATAGTTTGATGTGTGGTCAGGAGAGCCGAGCTGGGGACGGTGTAGAGTTGGCCGACAGGGAACAGCTCATGAGAAACATGCTTCTACATAAACACTCCATTACAATTGATCGAGTTAAGAGTTTGCTGCCAATTTTCTAATGATGGAAATTGACAGAGATTGTTGCCACTGTTTTTTCCAGTAAGATTTTAACTGCAGGCTACACTTTGGATTTATATTTGGATCATCAGGTTTACAGACAAGTCAACCTTGACCTTTCCTCAATAGTGGCATTCACACAAGCAGCACAACACCATGACTCTCATAAGAACAGACCAATTTTCAATTAAAACCAGAATGGCTGTTGAATATAATGCTTCCTTAAGATTTTATCTAGTAAATGTATATAATCTCAAGTGAAAAGGCATGCTTAAGCCAGGACAGACTATAGACAAGCAGTTCTCTGAAATTGTTAAAGAATTATGAATTTCTATCTGAATTGGCTCCTGCATGGGAAAGGCTGATAACATGTTTGACACCAAGAGTTGTCCTGGCTAGGTGCTCCTTGCACTGATTTCACTTAATGTACAAAGTCAGGCCGGATTTTGTCTAATGAAATCATCCATAACTTAGATTACTGAGCCACCTCAACACGATACAATGAATAGTAATATGACCAAGGGCAGCAGCGGCAACACTGGGCCTTGTTGACACTGCCGTGCCACCAAATGTAGGAATCGTGTCAAATGATATGAACATCCCATTTACCGGCAGCAGAGACTGGACAAAGAGGATGTGTTGTCCCAGTGTCAACATGCAGCTCGAGGGGCAGACCCCTCCTCTGCTAATATTGAAGCTAACCACTGGGAACATATGCCCTACACATGAGCTGGTCGTGACTTCCTTATCCTTATTGTTGTTGGGACTTCGTAAGGCAAACAGTGTGGTTACATTGAACATGATGTTATGGAAGCAAATGGTGCTGTTTCAGTGGCAGGCTCATCGCCAGATACGGACATATACAGGTTTTCACAGCAGCCACAGATGATGGGTTTTAGGAAGATTTTATTAGTTTTTCACTGGAAGAGATTGTAGGTGAACAAAGATGATGGCTTTGTCCATCCATAAGTCTGACAAAGAATAAGCACAGAAATAACAGATTAACAAGCACAGAGGCTGTAGGTTAACAAGCACAGAGGTTGCAGGTTAACAAGCACAGAGGCTGTAGATTAACAAGCACAGAGGCTGCAGGTTAACAAGCACAGAGGCTGTAGATTAACAAGCACAGAGGCTGTAGATTAACAGGCACAGAGGGTCAAGCCTGGTACAGTCAGCCTGCTGTAGTTGCCTCGTACTACAGGTGTTGAAGATGAATGGACCCTGCATCCTCTGTGGCTGAGACTTATGTCATCCGTTGATTACTGTTACGATTAAGGCCAGGTGTGCCCTGCCACGGTACTCCACAGCTTAATGGAGATCAATGTCCACTTTAGCTGTTAATTACAATGATTGCACACAGGACATTATTGTTGGTGGAAATTATTTCCTAGTGGTCAAGGCTTGACCTTTGATGTTGTCCCAGGGTGACTGGCAAGCAGTGATCCATGTAATGGGCTATTGTGGGCTCCCTAACTGGCCACGTGCCTGCTGTTGTGCACTGCCTCATTAGTCAACACCACAGCCTAATCAGCTGGGAGTCAGGCGGGGAGGGCTGCATGCTTGGGTGGCAGCAGTGTATAGACATTTGGTCGACAGCATGTCCCAGGAAGCACACCTGAACTGTCCTGGATCACTTTAGTTGAATATCTGGAGGAAATACAGTATTTCTCTTCCCAGGCATATGACTGGTGTTGGGTACTGTTAGCACGGCTATGTGGAGGGTTAATGTAAAGGGTTAATGTGAAGGGTTAATGTTAATTGTTGATGTAAAGGATTGATGTAAAGGGTTCTTGTAAAAGGTTGATGTAAAGGATTGGTGTAAAGGGTTCATATAAAGGAATGATGTGAAGGGTGTTTATGTAGAGTGAATATGTAAAGTGTTGATGTAAAGGATTGGTGTATAGGGTTCATATAAAGAAATGATGTGAAGGGTGTTTATGTAGAGTGAATGTGTAAAGTGTTGATGTAAAGGATTGGTGTAAAGAGTTGATGTAAAAGATTGGTGTAAAGTGTTGGTACATAGGGTTCGTGTAAAAGGTTAATGCGAAGGGTTGATGTGAAAGTGTTTTGTAAATGGTTGATGTAATTGGTTGATGG